CAGACAGTTCATATACATATTTAGTTAACTAATAAGTCGTTAATGAATACTGGAATATTTACATTTTCTATGTTACTCTTTAATAGACCAAATGACATATAAATGAAGCATTAAAGTTAAATGTTAACCATATATATCATCAAAAGAATTTTAAATACATGTAATACATACTTGTGAACATAATAAATTAAGTAAACATGTCAAAATAATGGTATACTTCCTAAACCACAAAACATATTTGAAACTAGAAGACATAATTAGTCCTAGTCAATGTAATGCTCAAGAAAAAATGTGGATCATTGCTCCCTAATGATCTTTATGACTTCATATGACAATGGTGTTCAATTTATAAATATATGTTAAGGAAAATTAGAACAACAATTAATAATAATATTCATAAAATATAGAATAAAATGAGAACTTAAACTAAGAAATTTCAAATTTGTAAAACTTACTTTAGCTTACCTAGTTACTACGTGTGAATTAACAATAATATGTATTGTCTTCATTACATAATATTCGCACCCATAGGCTCTTGGTTGTTTATGAGACTACAAAAATAATATAAAAATAATTTCAATAGTAATGATAATTCAAAACAAAATACCTTCAAAAATATCATTGTTAGAATTAAAATAGCTTACTTTAGGAAAGACCCAATGCATCTTTTTCCTCATGTTTGAACATTTGAGCATATAGTATCCTATCATGACCTTGATAATAAAATGAGATTATATTATTATAGTTTAAAACAAAATGTAATGATAATCTATAAAAGAAAATGTTTTTTTTAAATAAACAATTTATACATATAATATTTCTATGAAGTCTGCAAGAGGAGGTTTACACATTAAACAAATACATGCAACTATATTATCTATAGAATAAATAATTATAAGTTGTCAATGAACGTTGTATTGAGAAATAATTAATGATAGATAATACTTATTTAAAATTTAATCAAATATATAAAAGTGGACTTACTTTGAAAATCAAGGGGACTAAGTAAACTTTTTTACTTGACTCATTTATCCAATTTTGGATGTAAGTCTAGGTTTGTAAGACCTTGTTCTTACCTTTTTTTTATGGATTCACGTTCCAAAAATAAATATATGTGATCATTCCCCTTATCTACACTTAATTTATGAAAAAAAAAATATACAATAAAGTTGGAAACAAAGTTAGAAAAAACCAACAAAACAAAATTTTAAAAAACTCAAATACTTACAACAATCACAACTACAAAATTAATATATTTAGCATACAATTTCCATTAATAATATTTGATATGTCACTCTGACGAATGTATATAGGTACTTTACTAGGTTTGTCAAACACTTGAAGGGTCCAAGGGTTTTGTTTGGGTTGATCATCGTCATCTTCTTATTTACAACTAATCTTAGTAACTTATTTGTAAGATGTTGATTTCTAGAAGGGGTAATACCACAACCTTCCCCTTACTCTTGGGTGGCCAACAATATCCTACTCAACAAAGTAGGTAATTAAATTTGATGAATATTTATAAAAATATCTTATACATTAATTTAAATATATATAACAAAGTATTGTATAATTTTCAAACTTAAAAAAAAATTATTTATTGACTTGATTTATACATTAAAAAATTATAATTAATTGATTAAATTATTTAAATTTAATATAAAACATGAATTATTTAATAAAAAAAATCTACAAAAATATATACTTTAAGTAAGTGAATCCTTCCTCGTATTAATTTATACTTGCTCTTCCACTCTTTCAAATAAATGGATTACTCAACTTATTTCTTCCTTATTTTTTTATGAGACAATTCATTTTTATTCTATATTTCTTTAATTTCTATTTTTCTCAATTATTTCTTGATTTTATTTTTAGTCATACATATACATAGTGTAATGGAATTTAACTTCTATTGTACTCCTTCCCGTCCAAAAACTATTGATGGTTCCATTGTACTCCTCAACAACTTTTATAATATTAAATATATTCCTATTTAAAGAGTGTATTTTAAATTAAATATAACAATTTATAGAAAATATTGAATATTTTCAAATGTGTATTTTAAAGTTAAACATTTTAAAACCAAATTTAATAATTCAGAAATAATTTGAGGTGGTCCCTTAAGGAGCATTTGTAGTGTGGTTCATTGCAAGTTGTACTGGGAGCAGAGAGAAAGTGTCATCGATCTGGTCCTCGTAACTTAAAATTTCCGCATTCATTACTATTGCATTATCGGATTGTAATGAAATATAAGAGGATCAGATGTAAAGCTGTATGTATCAGCCATAATTGCTGTCGTTTTGTGTCTGATTTATATAGAGTAGGATCAATGTGCATCAACCACAACATGATATTCTGAAAATAGCTTATAGATCTTTCACTTTTTTTTTTCTTTTTTTTTTTTTGTTTAATTGAAGATTAGAGTATTTTGTTTGTCTTCAAAATAGAGACGGCTCACCAATACTAGTGTTATGCTGTTATGTGAGGCTAGCCTGATGTCACTAAAATTTTGAAACTCTTATATGTAATTAATTAGTGATAAATAGTGTTATTGAAGGTAAATATTAGCTATGACTAAAAAATGTTATATTTCTAAATCCTTCCAAATATTTTCGTACTACCACTTCAGTTTTTAAAATATTTAATATTATTTTATATTTAAGATATTAATATATTTATTTTATAAATTACTAAGATTAATAAAAAAAATATCGCAAGAAATTAAAACATTATTCATTATAAGCATAAAAACATTATTCATTATTAATTAGAAATTCTTTTCTTACATGTGCTATTTTTTTATACTTTATTCTCTTTATAGAAAATAAAATAATTTTACACACATATTGAAGAAATTAATTAACTGTATTTAATTTTATTAATTTTATAGTATTATTTCAAAATCATCCTTATTATAAATTTCAGAATAGTTAATGAAATGCATTTAAGAAGAGTATTATTAAATAAAATAATTTTAATTAAAATATGGTTATAATTAAGAGAAAAATAATTTTTTTCTTATAAAAATAACAAATAAAGTATTAATTACGAATGATATTTCATGTATATTTTTTTCTGTAAATTTATTTAATTTTACAAGTTTTTATCTCAATTAATGAAAATATGATAATATGAGCATTTCTAATAGAAATTGCTTAGCCACATTGGATGAGTTATTTAATAATAAAATATCATTTGAACGTATTAAGTTGTATATGATTTGAAGTTGTTTAAAATTAAATATTTATTTCTATAAATAATTGTATTTTATGTTGTTTAGTATCTTTGTGTATACATATAACTATTAGAGAGACCATATGACATATTTTAAGTGATCCATAATATTTGTGACTTAAACAACTTTTTGATAATTTTTTTATCAAAATGAAAATTGAGTAAGTCGTTTAAAATTGAATTGAAACGTATGGACTGAATTGAAAAAGGTGTGTTTCTTATTTGTGACGTAACACGCACAAAAAAAGGGAGGGTTGAATTGCATATTTGAAAACTTTTGCTTAAAACTTTTTCAATCCAAGTTCGTTTAGTGCATTAGAAAATTAATAAAAATGCATAAGCTTATTATCTTAAAGAGTAAGGAAAAGAGATAATTCACAAAAGTTTATATTGGTTCACTAACTTTTAATCCAAGAACTACATCTAGTCCCTTTTCACTGAAAAAGTCCACTACTTAACCAATGAGTACAAATCAAGTATTCTCAACTTCTCCAAACTTAATAAAAATTCCAATCATTATATGGGTACTTGACTTCCAATTATTCTTTCCTACTAATCCTCTTTAATGTAACATTGTGAGTTTTATAATTGTTTAATTAATTTTATTAATTAATTGATTAATTATATGTTTTGTTGTTTAGTTATTTTTAAAACTTTAAGAATTAAAGAAATCTTATAAGTTTAATTATTTAAGAAATATTTTGAATTGAGGTCAAAGTTGACCAAAGTTAAGAGAAGGCATATATAAGATTTTCTTAAGACTTAAACTTTATAAGTTTATTTTCTTAAAAATTATAAAGAGAAGCTAGAGAGATAAACTCTAGAGTCAAAGGGAGTCTTTCTCCCTTTTGACTTCACTAGATTGTTTTACTTCTTCCCTAGAGCGTAGATTGTGAAGCTGAGTCGGTATTCAAAGCTTAGAGAGCTAAGAATCAAGTGTTAGTAGTATCGTGCAAAGGAAGCTTTGGTGGACCATCACTACTACAAAATTACTATTTTACATCACTGCATCTACATCGGTTCCTCTACAAACGATGTAAATACGAAACGCGGTGGCAGTTTTGTAAATAAATTGAAGATGTAAACTATTCTACATCGGGTCTATTTCTGACCGATGTAAAAATCGAATGAGAATATTATTTTACATCGGCTTTTGCATTTAACCGATGTAAAACTGAATCCAAATTTTCACGACCCCTTTACTCTCTCGACACAACACTCTGGTGGGCACTCTCGCAGGCCTCTTGACACACATCGCCCTCTCCAACCTCTCCCTCCCCTCCGACAACGCCGTTGCCATGGTCCTCTCGCGCCTCGCCCACGACCTCTCCGCCAAAACCCTAGCCTCCCACTATTCCCTCGAACACTACCTCGTCTCCAAAATCACCATCATGCTCACGCGGCTCCTCGCCACCAAGCTCTACCCGGAGTTCATTAATATCCCGGTGGGCCGGCACCGCCTCCTGGAAACCATCCAGGCTTTCGAGGAACTCACCTCCCTCCCCAACATGTGTGGCGCCATCGACACCACCCCCGTCCACCTCCGCTCTAGCCCTAACCCCAACACCTACCGTTGTCGCTACGGCTTCCCCTCCTTCCTCCTCCAGGTCGTCTCCGACCACAAGAAGATCTTCTGGGACGTCTACATCAAGGCCCCCGACGCCACCGACGACGCCACCCACTTCCGCGACAGCCTCCTCTTCCACCAGCTCGCCTCCAGCGACGTCGTCTAGATTATGTGCTCCCCTTTGTTGCAGCCGCGTGTGCAGGAATCCACATGAATTGATTAGGAAGTATGGCCTTATGTGCTGCAGGCAGTGCTTTCGCAGCAATGCCAAGGAAATTGGCTTCATTAAGGTATACATTTAGGGTGAGGTTCCCAGTACTAATATCTTACATTAGTTTAATGTGAATTTATGCTTTGGTGGTAGGTTAATTTGCTGTGATTCATCTATTGTCATGCCATGAGTTCTGATTACATTTTTTTGCTGCTGTTGTTGTTGTTGCAGTATCGCTAAAAGAGCTGATGTCTCCACTCAATCAATTTTATGTTCTGGCACTAGGATGTTTTAAGGAAGTTATGTTTGAAGAAACTTGAGACTTGGTTTTTTGTATCTAATTAATTATCAAACATTATTTGTTGAATGAAATATACTTTTATATAAATGGTTTTGGACTACTAGGTCCTCCATCCCTGATCCTTTAATTCTTCTGCAGCTATATGCGTTCACATCATATGGGTGAATATTCCCTGCAGTCACTCATCTCTTTATTTTTCTCCCTGCATTTTTTTCTCTATTGTTTTGGAGAAAGCAAAATTAAAGGTTGTGAATATGATAGTGTTAGATCCAATGGTGGTAAAATATCTTAGTGTGAATGTGGGATTCCCTTAACTGCAGGGAATCTGGTTCCGTATCATACAGTTGCATGCTTATACTACCTTGCATTCGCAACCCTTTGTCTCTTATGGTTGCTGTGTCATTAGAATTAGAATTACCATTTAGTTGCATTGTTGCTTACCACTACTGAAAACAATTTTAAACTGTTGGCGGAAGCTATTTTGATCTTGTTCTTGTGAGATTGCCATTTGAAGTTAAGAGCCGCAAATAAAGTTAGAGTTAAGAGTTGACCTAAACCATATTGTTTTTGTAGGGACTAAAAGAACATGGTTTTGTAATTTTTAAGGACTAAACAAATAAACTTTTCACAGCATTAAAACCAAAAATAGGCATAACTTTGAGGACCAAATTCATATCTAAATTAAGTTATACGATGCTTCCATTTGTTCTGCGGTTTAATTTTGTAGTTCCACACTTTCGGAATTGTTTTGAATTTTTCTCCTTTCCCCACTTTTGTGAAAGCAACAGATCCATATCTGAAGCCTTGTTGCATCCTTATTCCTCACCATAACTGTGTAGTGTGACTTATTATACTTATATACTCCTGCAGTTGTGAGTCTTGTGTTAATGGAACAATGGAGTCAAATTAAATATAAGTAGATGGTAGTGTCAATTCTATAGTATACTGTTATGTTTTGACTGTTAATAGTCTTTATGCCTTTATCCATGATATTGGAACTAAAATCAGGTTTCTTTTCTTGTCAGTAAGGTACACTTTCTACCACATTGACTACTACACCCACTTTGAATTCAACCCTCACACTCACTCTATACATCAAGATTTATGTCATGTTTGAATTACCATGATTGACATGGTTCCAATTTTTGCAAACACTGTAATAGTGTTTACTTTAAGTCCTTACTTGAAAGTCAAAACCTACTTTACTTGTAAGAGTGTCGTAATTACAGATTTATAGATCTTTGTTATATCATCAAGAATTTGCCGTTTCTTCCCTCCTAAGTCCTAATTAGGTTTTGCCTGATATGTACCTGCACTTATAGGTTGTGATGTTGGATGAACGTGGGCAAGACATAGGATCTGAGCAAATGGCAGAGTTGGTGGGTGATGCAGGAAATACTGCAAGAAATTTTGTAAATGATCTCTTCCATACATGGATATTCTTTTAATCATTGACATAATATAAGTACTGTCGATAGAGATTGAATACCACAATTCATATCATGTCAATCATGTGATAGTAAAATAGTATCATTCATATTTCTCACTTTTGGCAGTGCTTATATCAATCATTTTTGTGTATTTTCTATCTTTCATGATCTTTGTTTATAGTGAATTGACTTAGCTATCACTAAACATTTTTAATAGCCACCGGAATGATTAAATCTACTTTTAGTTTTTATAAACTTGCAGGTCACCATTCCAGCTCTATAATTGACCTATGCATTGTTATTTGTATAAAACCATCTATCTCTAACGCAGGCCTAAATAGTTTCTCAGTTTTGAACTCCTGAAGTGTGATTTCCTTTCCTGTATATAATTGACCTATGCATTGTTATAATAAATGATTGTTGAATTTCTGTTTTCAAGCCAAAGTTGTTTTATATGTCCATTCCCTTGTGATTTCCATTCATGTTATAGCTCTTTTGTTCTTTTATTATGAAAATATCTTTCAATAAAATTTATTTCATGATTTCTGTTTTCTCACAGGGTGCTTCACGATTATCCTTTTGTATTGGTGGACCATATGGTCATGGAAGAAAAATGCGAGAATGGGCTAATTTATCAATCAAATTATCTTCACTGGTCTTAAATCATCAAATAGCATTACTTGTGCTCATGGAACAGCTTTACAGGTAGCAATGACTTGATCTCTTAATATCGTGTTCTATTTTTTTTATATTTAAATATTTACTAATCTTTTAGTCTAAATATTTAAATATTTACTAATCTTTTAGTCTAAATATTTACTAATCTTTTAGTCTAAATATTTAAATATTGAGACTCATAATAAATCTAAAAAATCTCTAAAAGCTTGATTAGTGGTAATATGAACTTAAATTAATTCATAATCTCTTTAATACCACTTTAGTTTTTCTTTAATAAATTGATTCTTACTCTTTGGTTACAATTTCTTTGATCTTTAATTTGTTTTTGGGTTGCTAACACATATTGTGCTTCAATTCAATGTCTTATTTTTCAATTCAATGTCATTTCTGTTTGTAAAAAGAAATTTGTTTTGGAGTATAGGATGAAAATTTGTCTTATGGATGATGGAATTGATTATAGCTATATCAAGTCATTAACCATGAGAATAGATTCCAGTATTTTTTTTCTGCACAGAGCAATATAAATTGGCTAACTCAATGTATAAGATTTCATTGACTGAATTGTTGTATTCTTTGGCTGTAATTTCGAATGCAGGGACCAGCCTTTTGTCTCTTATGGATACCTTGTAATCATCAACCTGTTTACTTGATTATTGGAGTGAACTATTTTTATCTATTAATTGGTGCTTAGGAGATTTTATAGTCTTGCTGGATTTCAATTAGTAACCTTGTTTCCAACCACAGCTCATGTGGTAAGCTTCACTTTCGTTTCCCATACTTCTTGTAGTTTGTGTGTATAAACCTTGTTTATTTATTATGAGAAGTTACATGCACATTATATTAGATTATATAAAGTATACTCTCAATGTTCTTCATTAAAAAAAATCTGATTTTACGTATAATGAGAAAAAAATTTATTTGCATTAAATTTTATTAATTCCATAACATTCTTCATTGATGCTGAATAAAAATTAACCTCTTACAATAATGACAATACTGTGCACGCTCACTGTTTAATTGTTCCATATTTTACTTTCTGTGGTTCCACTTCTGTATCAGTTATTATTGAATATTTTAGCACTTTGTTTAATTGTTGCATCTTTTTTTACCTTTTCTTTCTGTGGTGCCCCTTTTACTCAAATGCTCTGTGAATCTGTTTAGTTAATATATTTTATTATTGTATACCATGGACTTAGTGCCTTCTTATGAATACCCTGTTTTGTCTTCTTTTAAAATGGAATTCAAAGTTATAGCTTTATTAGAGTAGTTATTGTATCTGATAACCTCTAATTCAGGAAACTAACTGGAACTCAATAATTAGATTTTGAAATTATACTATGAATGAAATATATTTATACAGGTAACCCAGAAAGAATCAAAAAAATAATTGATTAGAATGTCGATTGGTAAAGAGATTGCATGTATGATTGTGCTGAAGATGGAGTTCTAAAATCTACTCCAAATAAATTTGTAAAAAGATCATCTGAAGTTATTGCAAACAAATGTCTTCTGTCAACTATGTTTTCTTGTGTGATAGTAGTGCATGTTCTTCCTTCTTCTACTTTTTTATCTTGGGATTTAAGGTAAGGAAAGTTTATAGATTGGCTATTGTTGAGTTATATGTACTGAAGTGTTGTTGAATTCATTCATATTTGATTGTGTTTATGGATTGAGGAGTAAGAATTCTTTCCATTTGGCTTTGTGGCTTTTGATTAAAAGAGAAACAAAATTGATGATTTTAAATATTGTGAGTTTCATGTTAAAATTTTAGTTGAGTTAATTATAGTATGTATCTATATATATATATGTGTGTGTGTGTGTGTGTGTGTGTGTGTGTGTGTCATTTTGTGCTTTGCATTCTGGTTTTGGGCTAAATTTCAAGTGATTGGCACCAAATTGTGATTCTACTAAGTGCAAAAATCACCATGTGTCAAGCGTAGCTTCATGTCATTGAACATGACGCAAGTTAAGGGCTCTTTTCCTTGTAACGACCCAGCTGGTCACTACACCCGGCACAGCACACTAGAAACACCACACAGAAAGGAACAAGTGTATACATATAGGGTCTAGAATATATACATATACATGATTCAAATCTGGATAGAGTTAAAGTGTACAAAATACATCCAAGGCTACTACACTAAGTAGCTAAAACAGCAAAAGATCCTAAAAGACCAGCTCCGTCTGTCAGCTACAGACTCACCATCAGCCACCAACCTATCCCTGCTCTGCTTCCATACATAGTATGATCATTGCAGTCCAAACATCATGGAGACAACAAAGGGTAAGCTAGTGAAAAGAAATCAATATACATATATGGAAATATGATAGAAAACAACTACAACTATCAGCACACCAGCACAACTTATACTACACCACAACATTCAACAATATCAGCACCACAAAGCGGCAATATCAACACCGCTTAGTGGCTATAACAGCACCACAATAGTGGCTAATAACAATACCGATATAGCGGCTATAACAACACCACAATAGTGGCTAATAACAGCACCGATATAGCGGCTATAACAGCACCACAATAGTGGCTAATAATCATCATACAGCTCAGCAAACATAGCTCACAGCACAGCACAGCAAATCAGCATACAACACAACCAAGTAGTACTCAACACAGCTTACTACTCACAAATCAGCTTAACACTCTATAGTGTAGCAATACTACCATTCAGCATTTTAAAAATCATCAATTACAGCCCAGCTCAGCACAGCAATATACATTTATTTCAGCTTAACATCATATATCAGCATTTTCATCTAGACAGCACAACATATTCATCGATTTCAGCTCATCTTAGCATAAAGCAACATTTTTCACCAAATTTCAGCATATAACACCTCATCCTCATACGCGCCTGGCGCACTCATGGTCGCGCCCGGCGTGGCACAACCAGAGAGCACCAGGGACTAGCGCGCCCGGTGCAAGAGTGCTTGCGCCCGGCGTGACCCATCCAGAGAGCCCAAGGCTCTCACACGCCTGGCG